GCATCAGACGGGGGGTTCCGTACCCCACCTTGTCTGCAGAGAATACACGCTGATCGGGCCATTAGAGAGCGGGTTGACTTCTTCCCAGTCTTCTGCCTGGCAACTCTGTCCTACATCACGAGAGTAGATGCTCATTGCATGCGGGCGTGCATGACGAGCATCAGCTGAGTCAGGGTTTTCCACGTGTTTCCAGGCCCAACTTTTCGGCAGCCTTCTTTTGACACGCCATTCTGTCCCTGTTCGCCTGTGGAGGTAAGTGAGTATTGTCTCGGAATCACCAGTATTGTCTACGACTCTGGCTATCGTGCATGGTGGATATTGCTATCTTCGCAATTGTGATCATTGCTTTGTTTCCTCTTGTTTCTAGCGGTCTTCTTCTGATGACGCTCCTCTTCCTCCTCCTCCCGCTCCTGCTCCGCCTTCTCCTCCTCCTCCTCCTCCTCTTCCTCCTCCTCCTCGTCCATCTCCTGGCTGCAGCTTTCCTTCCCCGACCGTTGCGCTTGTGCCTTCCTTGTTGCTCCTGCTGCTGCTGCAGCTGTTGCATCGGGCTGGCAGGGCTTGAAACCAACGCTCCCCATCTCACCTTCCACAGCAACTACTGGGCAAGCCCGAAGGTAGGCACCTGCACAAGTAGAAGAGGGTTTTTGGCTTTTTGCCATGGTCATAAGGAACAACCAAAGAATAGTAAACTTCTCTATCAATTTCCGAAAACGTTTCCCACCGCAGCTGAAGGCCGGATATTAGCTCGAAACGACGGCTGCCTGCACCTGGGGAGCCATTGATGGCTTCACTGAGGGCGCCGGCTGCGAGGCGAGCCGTGGGATGTCCACCTCTGAGTTTCTGGGTTTAGGGCGGGGCGTGTAGGGCTGAGCTCGGGTTGAGGGTTTAGGGTTGAGGGTTTAGGGTTTAGGGCTTAAGATTTTGTGCTTAGGGGTTGTATGGCGGCTCTTGCGGTCGGGGAGATGAACAACAAGACTTCGGGCTTTCTTCAAAGGCAGCCATAAGAGCTGGGTTACATTTTTGTGCACGGAGCGGCTGGCGATTTAGGGGTTTGTGGTCTACGAGTTGGTGGGTCAAAAGGAGATTCAAGAAAGCCTAAACCAGAAACCCAGCACCCTATACCCTGAAGCCAAAACCCCCGAGAAACCCTGCCCCAGAGGAGCCACCTTCGGGCAGCCGCGGGTGCCCAACATGGCCGCGGAGTCGTCAAAAGCGCAGGAGAAGCTGTCGTTTGTCTTTTTGGGGATTTTGAGGTTTTGGGTTTAGGGTTGAGGGCTTTGTGGTGTCTTGTGTGTGTTTTTTGTGCTTTGTTTGGGGTTCGCATTTACGGCATACAATTAGTTTAGAAGCTGTCGTTCTTCCTGCTTGCATGTACTATGCGGGCCTGAAGGTTTTTACTGGCAGTCTTAGCCACTACAATGGGGTTTGCACCAGACACTTGTTGGGCTCTGAACTTTCGCTGGGGGTTTGATGATGTCAATGTCGTGTCTCTGCCTGGTCTTCCACGCACACCCTGCACTCTCAAGCAGTCAACTCACTGGGCCACCTGCAGCAGACAATCACGCATTCCAGATTTTTTGAGAGGTGGGGTGACGGTCCTCCGTTTATCTTAATATGGGGGCCTCAATAATTAGAATAGGGTTTTGTGGTATCTTATACTATAATTACAATAATCATAACAGTATTGGTAATTATTTAGGCCCCTATAGTCAAGGGTCGTGTGCTTCGCCAAATGCTGAAAGCCTTGACCGCGGATAAGCAAGAGCATGTCATAACTATGTGGCTATGTTGGAAGGAAAATCATACACTAAGTTTGCTACCCCGTGTCATTACGATACGGCGTCATTATCAGGAAATAACCTGACGTCGTGTTGGGATGATGTCCTGGCGCGACAAGTTTTGCTAACAAGCGCACGTCAGTTCACTGCTACTCTGGGCCAGTACGATGGGAGTGTGTGAGTTCATGTCTCTCTGCGGCTTAAGATCACTTTGCATCACCGACATGATGCCTGTTCGCGAGACTCTCCGATGGCTCTGAGCAACTAGGTAATGCTTAGTGACGGTAGTTGTGTTCATGACAGTCATACTACTGCTGATGTTGTATCCTGCACTCCGTCACTGCACAACCATACGGTACATACAGCTGTCGTCCTACATTGTGTCAAACGCCAGTCAAACGACGATACTACGATGTTACAACAGGGCCTGAATGATATGAACGCGGCAGGGTTTTCGTGCATATTGAGGTATAGTTTACATAAGCAGGCGCTACAAGATGATAGGTTTAATATTCATTCCCACTCCCCTAGGGTTATCTTCCCACTTACCCTTGTTTCTTCGGTCGCGAGGTGTGCTTGTGAATGTACACATACTGTTGCACAGCAAGATCCAGGGGTTTTCCTTCGGCTGCGCTCTTGCATTGCTACTGGTGGTTTTATTTGATTCTACTAGTAATTTCCTGCTGAGCTTGCAGTCCATCTATCTTCACATATCTTCCCAGTCACTCAAGTGTTTCTGAATGTGTCTGAATGTCCCTTCGAACTTGTTTACAGAGTGCTGTCGATGCTCCTACTGCTTTCACAGTCTACAGCTCTCCGAATCTCGCGCACATCGAAAGTATAGCCCTTTCTCGGCGCCAGCTGCAGATAACGTGCACGGGTGCTCAATGCAGCCAGACCCTAAACCCTAAACTAGTTGGGGTTGGGCTAAACCCTACATTCTGCGACCCCCGCCTCCACCAACACCCTCCGTCCAAAAAAAATTCACCCTCCCCGGCAAAATGCAGACGAAACCCTAAACCCTCAACCCCGAAACCAGGGATAGTTTTGGAGACTGTTGCATGTGGAGAGCACTCGACAGAGTCCTAACAGGTACCGACACCCTTAGCCGTTGCGGTGTTTTATCTGGCGGATTCTGCTGGGGCTGCCGATGCTCAGGCCTCATGACCACGACACAGACCCAGGCGATGCAGACTTTCCCTTTTTTGCCCGTCATGCTTATTTTGCCAATAATTTTTGCACTGCCAATATTTTCCCAGCACTGGCTTGCACATTTCACCAATCTCTGCGGGCTGCGCCTATTATATCGTTACAATATGTCTTCATCCGCCCCCACCGTACTGGTTTCCCTGGGGCGGGGTCGGCACGGGCCACCACAAGCTTAAAAAGCAAACATGAGGAAAATATCGGGAGCTGTCGGAGGATATTGGAGATGGTGTGCTGCCCAGACAGGAAAAAAGAAAAGATTGGTGAATTAGATTGGGGAAATTTTGGGAAAATATGCAAAACGGATAATTGCCCAGGGCTTGGGGGAAACGGGTCCACAAAAAGCACGTCACCGGCCACCTGGACCTCGAAATGCCGAAACACCTTCACAATCAATTCCTGAGCTTAGGGTGTTTCTACTTAAACCAGAAACCCCGCCTAGATTATTTTAGGGTTTAGGATGCCTGGCTGCGCCTGCCACTATGGCACTGCCCTCCTAGGGGCCAGGCTCTTCTTTGCGCCAGCATCGTCGGGGAGTTTTGTGCAGGTGCGGGTTTAGGGTTTTGGGGTTCAGGGTTTAGGGTTTTAGGATTAAGGGTTTAGGGTTCAGGGTTTAGTGTTTAATGTGCTCCTTTGATAAGGCTTCTTTTCATGGGCTTGGTGGGTTGTGGGGTTTGGAATCGTCGGGGGTATTGATTTCCGAGTTCAGAGCTTGCGGTTTAGTTTAGGCGCAAGGTTTGGGGTCTCACGATTTGTTCACGGGTTTCAGTTCCCAGCTGCGTAGGGCTGTGGCTCTTTCGCAAAGCACCTACGGCTCCTACTAAAGTGCGGTGTAGGGTTTAGGGTTTAGTGTTACCCTCACTATAAACCCTACAGTAAACCCTAAACGCTCGCGAGGTTCATGATTTGTTCGCATTTTGGCTTGAGGGTTTCAGTTTTGGGATCTTGGCTTTGGTTTTTAGGCTCCAAGACTCTAGGATGCAAGATGTTGGACTTTGCGCCTCGAGTAAACTCGGCGATGCCATTTGAGTTGAGTCGACCGGTGTGGTGAACCAGGACTGCGCATTCGGGCTCCCTGGGATTAGGGTTTAAGTTTAGGTTGAGGGTTCCGGCGGTATGCTCGCTTGGCTGGCAGCGGAAATGCACGGGAAACTGGCCAGCTTGTGCATCCGAATCAGCAGCAGCCCTAAGCATCCATGTTTTGCTGAGAATATTCTGATCAAACCAGGCACTTCGTCCAATCATCTAGACCTCTTTTCTGTTATGAGTGGAAAAGGGGAGAGTGTTTTTCGCTGGTCTTCGCAGATGCACTCCATGGCTGCCCCGCAGGAAACTCCTGGATTGACCATGGAGGAGGTTTTCTGTTTTGGGTTTAGACTTTGAAGTTTAGGGTTTTGGGGTTTTGGGTTTATGGCAGTTCAAGCTGGTTTCACTGGCTGTCCGAGGATACCCGTCTTCAAAACTCTCGGGGATGCAACTTGTTTCGAATGTGTTTTTCGTTCCAAGGCTTACAATTCGGTTTAGGATTTAGGGGTTCAGCGTTTAGGGTTTAGGGTTTCGGAAGGCTTAGGATTCTAGATCTGGGGTGTTCACGAAAGCCATCAATCGTGGTCCCGATGACTGAGATCGGCTAGTTGGAGTAGTTAGAAGTGGGTCTTTAAGTCCCCGAATATGGGTTATAATTGTTGTTGTAGTTACCGTACTTGTAACCCCCACCCTTATAACTACCCATGAACCTCCAAGTAATTGAAGCATACGCATAAGCATCAAATGAGCAAACTTACTTAGTCGGCAGACTTTCGTTTCCGTGACGGAGCTGCTGCAAAACGTTCTCTGAATACCAGGGGCAAGCCGCACGAGAAGGAGCCCCATCAACTTTCAGTTTCAAAGCCCCAACGTCCCAAATGCATACACAGAGGAAAGGTGCACTAGCTTTCATTCCTCAAGTGCCTATTGCAGAAGAACTGCAAGCACCAAAATGCTCCTGCGCTGACATGTCCAGCCAACACCACATGCTCACAGGAACTGCGCCTTCCGTGGAGCTGGAACTAGAGGTCCGGTCCCACAGGTCAAAAGCTGGGTCTAAAGGCTCTCTTCAAACTGTTGCGTACTACATCTGCTGGAAGCATCGAAACAGGATAACAGTAGATCAAGCTTACTTGTGCCTGAAACCCCAAACCCTGCATCCTGAAGCCTAAAACTGGCCCCAAACCCCTACTGTTGATGATATAAATCCTGCATTACCTTAACTACCCTAAACTATGGGAATTATGGTATATTTCCTATTATGGGTGATGCAGGATTTATATCATCAACCGTATCAAGGACATGCTTGCACCGAAGCTTCCGCACACAGTACGGTGCATCTGATAGATGCATAATGCAAACCTCTGTCGAACTGTCCTCCACTAGCGCTTAACATAGGGGCATTAAAAATCAGAAATTGGGCGCTGGGGCATATTATACTGCAACTATAGTAAGACATCACAAAACAATAGTGGTGATTAATTAGGTAAGCCCCTACGGTCAGCCATATACGCCGCCCACTTGACGTGATAATCGAATCCCTTCTCGATTCGGGAACTCAGTACACGAGGAGTTCTCGTCGACTCGAGGAAGCCGGAACGCAAAGATCCCTCAACCCTAAACCCTAAGGCCCTAAATCCTAAAGCGTATAGCAACCCTCCAAGGATTCAAGGAACCCTAAAGGAAAAAAAATCTGGCCTTGCCCTCTCTGCGAAGGGCTGCAGTCAGCACCTCCGACTTCTGACCACAGCACTTGGAGGGTCGGGGGACTTAGTAACCGGTGATTTTAGGGACTTATAAGTGCCATAACCCCAACTAGGGTCCCTTTTAGGGTACTTATAAGTCTACCTACTACCTACTTACTAAGTCCCCCGACCCTCCACAGCAGGGAGTAAGGGAGGGAAGCCGTTGGGTTGGTTTGTGGCTTTCGGGCTTAGAGCTTCGGGTGTAAATGTTGATATTATAGGGTTTAGGGATTGCGGGTTTAGGGCCTTCTATAGGTTCCTCAATAATTACCAACACCATTTTGGGGGTTCCTTGTTAGTGCAATGGGGCCCCAAAACCCATTTTTAAGGTCCCTATCTTAGAGTTTGCAGGTTTAGGGGTTCAGGGGTCTGAGTAACTGTGCTCTAGGGCCGCTAGGGCCCAAACTCCAAACCAAGCCTTAAAGCCCGAACTCTAGACCAAAGGCCCTAAACCTAAAATCATTAATCCTACAACTCTAAAGGCAAAAGTCTAAATTTGCAAAACCCCACACCCTAAAGTACTAAACCTACCACAATAAATCCTAAAACCTAAAAACCTGAAGCCCTACATCCCTGAAGCCCTAAACCCCGAAACCCCTAAAAACCCCAAACACCGAAACCCCTAAAAACCCTAAAACCCCTAAACCCCGAAACCCCTAAACCCCAAGACCCCTAAACCCTTAAACCCCCTAAACACCCCTAAAACCTCTAAACCCTGAGACCTCCTAAACACCCCTAAAACCCCTAAAACTGAGACCTAAACCCCCTAAACACCCCTAAAACCCCCTAAAACACCCCTAAAACCCCTAAACCCTGAGACCTAAACCACCCTAAAGCCAAAAACCCCTAAACACCCCTAAAACCCTGAGACCGAAACCCCAACTCTTCGGCCCAAGCACCGGCGCACACAGCGCGGCGGCAAATAGCGGCCCGGCACTGGCCTGGACGGCGGCGGCCTCCGGAATCTAGGTCTTGTATGTGTTTTGGCCGTGGTGGTGGTGGTGGTGTTGTTGAGGATGGTGATGTTGCTGATGTCTTGATGGCGATGGTGATGATGACCGGATCATGATGACAGTCAGTGGTGGCAGTAATGATGCTGGTGGTGGTAGCGCTGATGACGATGATGCAGATGAGGATTCCTTCGTGCGCAGCGCTCTATCATCATTGCCAAGACCCTAACACCTACGAGCTACACCTTAAAAACCAGCGCTTAAAGGTCTTTGCTGATTGCTACGACCCTAAGCCTAAACCCCCAGACCTTAACCCTACTTCAACCGTAAATTCTCAATCCCCTTGCCCTACACCCTAATTCAACTCTAAACCCGACACCCCCTAAACCCTACAACCTCAACCCCTAAACCTTAAACCCCAATTCAACCCTAGATTCTCAATCCCTTAAACCCTAATTCAACTCTAAGACCTAAAACCCTAAACCCTCAAACCCTAAACGCCAATTCAACATAGAGACCTCGCGGTGTCGCGGTTGGTAGGTTTGTGTGGTGCTAGTCTTTGAAAAGAAGTTCAGCGCAATCTAACTGATAACACGGATGGCAAGTATGGCAATGGTAGCAGCGGTAGTTTAGGAATAGTAACCCTTACAGTAACCGCCTCAGTAACCTCTATACTACGCTGACAGAAACGCTCATAGCAACCCGTATACTAACCTCATAATAATCCTGCATTGGAATCCAACTTTGTGCCAACCTGCACTGCGCTCACGCTGTCTGCAGCCGCCTGCCCAGTGTGCTGCCTGTGGTACATTGGATCACGGTTTGAAGCTGAGGTCTACTTGGTTCAAGGGTAGTTGCAAGGGTTCCTTTCAGGGTCCATTTAAAGGGGTCTGTAGGAATTCTATAAGGTCTAGGGTGTACTTGGAGGTTCATGGAAAGTTACAACTGTGTGTTAGAAGTAGGGTAGCTAGAACTATAACCTTTGTGAGGGGGCTAACAACCCTACTTCCGCGAACCTCCGATCTTAGTCTAGGGTTTCCGGTTTCGTTGTGCGGATCTAGGCTTACAGTTGAAAGAAAACACCGCAAGAAGAGGGCTCTCTGTGTTCTGTGGAGGGTCATGGGTGTTATCAGTAGGGTAATTATAACTATAACCTGTATTAGGGAACTTATAGCCCCCACTTACAACTACCCATGAACCTTCAAGTTCGTGTCGGCTGCGCTTGTTAACGTCCCCCTTGCTTCTGATGCGAGGACAGAGAAGCAACATAAGAACAGACCAAGACACCGATGGTGATGGTCATCGTGAAAGCTTAGCAGAGCGACAATAACACCAAGACAAATATCACCAGTAACTGTAATGGCTACATAGGCCTAACAAGCAGACAAATAATGAGATTCCGGTTGATGATACAAATCCTGCATTACCTTGAAGGCCTTAAACTAACGGAATTATGGTATATTCCTTATTATGGGTAATGCAGGATTTAGATCATCAACCGTTCACGACGAGTGTAGAAGTTGGCTGTTCGGTTATTTCGATTCTTGTCGTCTTCGGTCCATCGGAGCCCCGAGCTGGGACGCACCGAAGCCCCAGCAGCTACGGGTATCGGATAAGCAAAGAAGTAACAGAAATTTGTCATTGGGGTTTAGGGTTTAGGGTTTAATCTCGGCTTTGTGTTTGGTACCTGTAAGACTTACCAACCTGCAAACTGTGTCGAAATATCTCTGAAGTCATCTCCGTCTGAACCCTAACCCTAAACTCTTTCCGCTTCTGCACTGCCTTCCTGTATCCGTGAGGCATATCGAAGCTCTTGAGCCGCGACTGTACATCGGCATGACGACATAGCTAAACCCTAGACACTCGAAAGTGCTCAGCCCAATGCAAGCTGCCATCGTCTGCTCCCTGGAGTGTTGAGAAGCACCTCTATTCCCATCAACAGCGGTGCGAGCGCCTCTTCGTCGTGGAAAAGATTCTCTAAAGCACTCGCGAAGCCATAGTTAGGCTGGACAGATGGCCGAAGCTGCTTCACAATCCCGAGTACGTCCCTGAACAACGCAGGAGAACCGCTCGTCTCGTCTCTTTCCAGCACCCTCTTGACCTAACTTGTCCAGCTTCCTAAACGAACTGCAGGTTAACTTGCGGTACTTTGTAGGAGTTCTTGTGCCCCCAAGAAGCGTCAATGATTCTTACTAAAACCTCTTGCTGTTCTACCAAGTGACGCTCATCAACCAGGCAATCACGACGCTGGCCGAGCGCGATCGACCTTGCGCGCAATGCACGAGCACCCTGGCACAGGGGGTCTCTGCAAAAGCCACCAGCATCCATGGAAGAGCCTTCTTGAGTATGGGGTAAAGATCGGCAGCGGGATGGTCCTTCATACGATTTAGGGTTTAGGGCTTTAGTTTGGTGTTTGGAGCCCTTTGGTTTAGTATAAGGCTTTGGGTTTCGGCTCAGTTGGGCTTCGGGAAAGTCAGCAGCGGGGTGGTCCTCGATGCAGAGACTGAGATGCGCCACCCGAGCATCACTGGGCAGAGGGACTGAGTGGTCGATCACACTGAGCACATGCGTAATCGCTAGGCCGTTCAAAACCGCTGACGAGGTAGCTGTCTCCAGCGGCCCCAAGTACAACCCATCGTCGACGATCTCCGAAGGAAATAATGTGAGCCCTGCAGTTCTGGCTGCAGCATCCTGCAAGGGCTGGTACTTTTTGGCATAGTCGTCTCGATCCACCAGAAAAACCTGGCGCGGCTGGGTCTTGTTCCGCAGAATCCACTGGGCCATGGCCTGACCTGGAGGACATGCGGCCTTTGGCTCCCTTGCGGTCTGAAGGTGCTGCTGGCGGTCGAAGACTACCGCCAACTCCGGCATCTCAGAGGGGCCGAAGAAGTCATCAACGAGTGTCTCAAAGACCTCGGCCTTCGCATCGTCGGGGAGATTGGAGAGCAGGATCGCGAAGCCGTAGGGCACGAGGCCTCCCTCCTCCAGGCGCCATGGAGCTTCAGCTGGGCTCTTGCTGCCTTCGCTGCAGGCTGTCACATCAAAGACCAATACGGATCCACCGTGGATCCAGTTGAAAGCTTTGTGCGGCGGCAGAATACGCACCGGAACGCTGTCTCCGTCTAAAGCTCGCGGCAGAGGAACGCCTGGAGTGTGCATCCAACACTGGGCGGACCGAGGGTGCTTCGCAAAGCTTGGGCCTAAGTCTGCTGCGAAGGAGCCCCATCGAAAGTTCAAAGCTTATAGGCCTGTCGTGCATTACATCAGATTTTTCTGGCTGCATCCCCTTCAGAACATCAAAAGCACCCCCGCCGGAGCCGTGTATACACTCAACAAAACCCCGAACATAAATCCTGCTTCTCACAGCAACTCCCAACCCCCCAAACCCAGAGCTTGAGCCGGTGTTAGAGACATATTGGGGTGGGGTTTTAGGGTTTAGGGTCTAGGGTGTAGGTGTCGTCCTAAGCGCAAGACAGACAGACAGACGGACAGACAGACAGACTAGTGACACCATTTACAGGAGCGAGCAGGCTGTCGAAAGATGCGACACAACACCTTGTTCCATCAGGTCAGTCCAGCTAGTATATGTTTTTGCTCCCAGAACCCATGAAAATAAAAGTTAAGACGTTTAGAGTGAAACATGCTTGTGACAGCCCGAGCAATTGAAGAGTCGGACCCTGAATTCTCAAACCCTTAAACCCCTAAACACCGCTAGGGCTTTGGAGAACTGAGTCTGCCATCCGAGAGGCTGAACCCAGGAGAGGATATTGGGAACGGACCTGGCAAGCATCAGATTTCGGATGGCTCATGGTGGCGCTAGTAATAGGACCGAAAACAGGCACATAAGCACAAATTAGGATCTGTATATCCCATATAAATTCCCTTATAATGCTTATGTCCTTTTTGGGTACCTAAAGTAAAGCTGCTAGCGCTGCTGGGTGGCAAGTATGGTAGCGGGAGAACGACCATGTGCAAAAAGCTGCTCTCCAATACTCCAATACCACCTCAACCCAGAACCCCAAAAGCTAATCCCCAAGAGCCTAAACCGCAAAATTGAAAACCCCCTCCTCCACCAACCCCGAAGTTTGACTGCTTATGGCCCCACTTGGAGGCTCATGGGTAGTTATAAGTCCCGAAATATGGGTTATAGTTCTAGCTACCCTACTTATAACCCACACTTGTAACTATCCATGAACCTCCAAACCCTATACACTGGTAGAATCCCTGTAGAGCCCTTTAAAGGCACCATTAAAGGAAAGTAAGCCCCAAAAACCTGAACCACGCCTCGGACCGCTGAACTCCTCCCCCGCAGCTGGGGAAGTTCCTCCGAAGATTTTCAGCGTGGGGAAGCCTTCGATGTTGCTCCTTCGGACGAGATCTAGTCTAGTTCATGGTCGGGATAGTATCAAATACCCATAAACATGTAAAATGCTACCCAGCTATGACAAAGTTGTTATAAGTAGGATTCCTACAAGGGCGCTATAAGGGTTCCTATAGGGTCTCAGGGCTGGGATCTAAGGATATAGAGTCTCAGGAATTTAACGTTTTAGAGTTTAGGATTCAGGGTTTAGGGTGGTAGTTTTAAAGTTCGAGAGTGTCACGCCCTGGTGGCGTGTATTTCTCGATACTTTCGAAATTTGCACACGAGGTCTTTGCACCCAATGCTATCGACGATTACATGCTTTGGTCACCCAGCCTCAAAACCCAAACCTCGCAAAAAAATGATGATGAACAAGAAGCACTAAACCCACCTTTGCTGAAGGGGTCGCAGAGCCCGATTTCGGTGAATCGGATGGAAGCTCTAAAACTCCCAAATGGCCGATAGTTGGCAATCCCTGACGCGAAAAGAAGTAACTGGTTCCCATGTATTCCAAATTCTGACAGAAGCCCTAAACCCTAGACCCTAGTGGGGGTGGCAACTGAGAAAACGGAAGCCTTGACGGTAATAAGGTGGATGGCAGACCCTGAGCATTTGTCCCACACCCCCAAGCGGAACCGAGTAGACTCATGATAGAGAGTGCATACCAACATGTGTACGCACATACGTACATACATACATGCATATATACACACATACACACATGCATGCATCCATGCCCTGTACCCCCCCCCCCCCACTCAAAAAAAAAACAAGAGCCACACCGCGCTCCTCTTGCACTCCTCGAGGTCCTTGCCTGGAACCCAACCCTGGGCGAAGCACTCCTGCACTAAGGCTATTTTGGTGTCGAAGGCTCGTTGGCGTGGTGGATCGGTTTAGGGTTTCTAACCAGTGGTTTCGGGGTTCCCTTGGCTCTTTAGCTCCTTCTTTAATATTGATTATCATCCTCCCTGGCTCCTTAGCTCCTCCAATATGAATGGTTAGTTATGGAGTTTAGAGTTATTCGGATTTGGGGCTTCGGGTTTCAGAGGTCTGGGCTTTTGGCATTTACGGCTCTTGCCTTTTGGGCTTGAGGGGCTCAGGGTCGAACTCGGAATTTAGGATTTAGGGAGTTTAGGCTTTGGGGTTTAGGGTTTAGGGTTTGGGGTTTAGGGTTTAGGGTTTGGGGTTTAGGGTTTAGGGTTTAGGGTGACAAGAGCCCTAGGATTTAGGGCCTAGCGTCTCCAGGGGGCTTAAGGCAAGTTTAGAGAGTTCTTGGAGGGTCTTTAGGGGACTTAGGAAGTAGGTAGTAAGTAGACTTATAAGTACCCTAAAAGGGACCCTAAGTAATTGGGGTTATGGTACTTATAAGTCCCTAAAAATACCAGTTCCTAAGTCCCCCGACCCTCCAAGTTGGAGCAGAGGCTGCAGACTGAAGGTACAAGGTTCAGGCTTCCGGGTTTAGGAGGGCTCAAGGGTAATGAGGGATATGGGTAGTTATAAGGGTTCCTTTAAGGGTTCCTTTAAAGAGATCTGTAGGGATTCTATAAGGGTATAGGGTCTAGGATTTTTCAACACGCTGAACGAACGTTGAGCCCTGCAGTCCTTTTGCTCCCACTGGACTTTGGGGTTCGTGGCCTTCGCTGCCCACTGCGACTGGGCGTCCTTCCCACTTAGTTTGGGCCATTTGGGAGTTTCCGAAAAATAGGAATACCTTATTTGGGGGTCCTTATATTAAGGATCCTACGATTTAAGGTACTATATTAGTGTCCCCTGTTTTCGGAAAATCCCATTGGGGCTTTAGCATAGCTTGAGGATCTGCGGCTTAGGATTCAGGGTTTCGGAAGTAGGGCTCAGGGCTTAAGCTGTCCGGCCTTTGGAGTTCGGAGCCTAGGATTCGGCTACATTTAAGGATTCTTTTAGGATGTCCTTAAGGGGGGGTGGTCCAAGGGGGGTAGGTAACCTAGTAATCCCCATTATTCCCCAATACTCCCTAGGCTTCCCTAAGGTTCCCCAAAGCTCCCTAGTACCCTCCCCCCTTGAACCACCCCCCCTTAAGGATCCTATAATTCTTTCAAGTGCTCCAAGGGCCCGAGAAACCTTCTACACAGGGGCTCCTGCCTCAAAATCGCGCTCGTCCAGGTTGACAAGAGCCCTCCAAAGGTTGCATGCTGATGATAGCCATGTTCCGGTGCACTGGGGAGTTTCGCAAGATACGGAACCCACGGATAAACCACGAAGACCATAAACACTGAGGTTTCGCTCCTACTACAAAGCACTCCAAAACCGGACTCCCTCAGAATCTCTATCTCTACATCGACGAACTCGACGGTCCTAAGCCTCCCACACGCCCCAGCTAGCAAGGCCCTTAGCCTTCCGGCCCCAAACCCCAACTCTAAGGACCCTCCCCCTCAACCTCTTCTCAGTTGCCCGGCCTTCCAAAGAGGCTCCATCGACTGGCAGTGGGGGCAGCTCTTCGCCACGTATTCGATGACCTTCCGGGGCAAACCTAGAGTTTTTGCATATACGGTGCTGTTTGGCGCAGGAGTTTCGCAGAGTGTGGCTTTTCAGGTTTGGGGCTGTTGGGTTGAAAAACGCGTTAATGCACTCTGGGTGCGTATGGCATACGGCATACTCTGGCATAACGTATGGTTGAATTGTATTGCTTTCTCTGAGCTCTTACGATCTTTGAAAAATGCCGAATGCAGGTTGAGATTTACAGGCGAAAACTAAACCGTTAGACTAAACCCTAAAAGAACTATTGAAACTTATTCTTATAACCCTACACCCTTGACCTCCAACCCTCAACTGATTTCCAGGTTTATAGCCTCGGGTCTTTGGACCCTCTTTGACGGCCTTCACCGGTGCTGTGCCCACAGCTCCCGCCGGGGCTGCTGGAGTAAGGGCCGCAATCGCCGGCTGCTCCATCCGTGTCTCCTGCACTTGCCCCATGGGTTATGTCGGCGGCACTTGGGCTAGCAGAGCGACTGAACCACATGAAAGCAAGACCCAAAATTGCAGGAAGCATAGGACCAATACCGTTCAAGCTTTGAGAAGCAAAGCAATCAAGTGTGCGGAGATTATCACACGTGTAATGGTAAGCAGTACGGAACACTACACTTGCTGTAGCTGCAGCAGCAGCAGGAGCAATGCCAGTGACAGTCAAGTGTACGATATTCTGGTAACCACACTAACAGACTCTCTCCTAAACCTAAAACTCGGGCCCGAACTTGCAGGCTCATAGTTAGGTGGAAATGGAGCAAAGTCACCGAAGAAGGTTGGAATTTTCCAGTTGCCCTACTTATTTATAGCCCCACTTATAACGACCCATACACTTCCAAGTAAGCCCATACTCCAACTACAGGTCGCCTCGAGGGGCGCCGGTCTTTCGTGCGGGGTGGCGTGCTGCTCAGCGAACCTGCGGGACAACAGCCGAGGGACCGACAGAGGGGACCTGTAGTGCCAAAAACGGGCGTTGACTCTAACTAGAAAAACGGCTTTGGTGTATATTGATTACATTTAGAAATGTGAAGGGAATATACGGAAATGTCATTGCTTGATATCTCCGGATCACACCTGAGCTAATGATCCTGCCAGCAGGGTCTGCTAAATTGAATTCCAGGTAATGCCAGCAAAACAAAGCAGAAAGGCATCGTGATCTGCATACTGTTCTCAACATTCAAACATCCGCGACACTTGTGTATGTGTGTGTGTGTGCTGTGTATATATGAAAGTAGACGTGCACAGATATATATGTCCTTCAGTAGAATTCTTGGGGGTTCATTTATGTGCGCCGTATGCGTACCTACTCAGCACATATCCAGGTCACTGGGCATTGGCTATAGTCGCACATGTAGATGTAAAGACATGAACTGCACGATTCTGCAACATAGAAGTAGTTGACTTCCTCGCTTCTCGCATAGACCAAACTGCATCAGAAGAGTGTCAAAAGAAATCCTCGTCTGCTCTGGTGTCGTAAAACAGTGAATGCATTCCGACTGGGGTGATGGGGCCACAGAAGAAATCTGTTTGGAAGATCACCACGACAAGGAAATTTTCTGGCATAGTGCTAACCAGATGAACCCTCAACTTGCACCCCAAAGCCACAACCCCTAAACACCCTAAACCCTAAACACCCAAACCCCATATGCCTAAAAGCCTAACGCCATAAACCCTAAACCCTAGACCCCTAAACCCTAAACCCTAAATCCTAAACCCTAAACCCTAAACCCTAAACCCTAAACCCCTAAACCCTAAACCCTAAACCCCTAAACCCTAAACCCTAAACCCTAAACCCTAGACCCCTAAACCCTAAATCCTAAATCCTACGGCTTGGTGCCAAGGCCGTGGCCCGAGGAGATTCGCAGGTGTGCGCTCGTCCGTGAAGTCGGCGAACTTCTTTCCGGACTTGCCTAGGCCCGAAACCCTAAAGGAGTGTAGGCTTTAGGGTTTAGGGATTAGGGTTTGGGGTTTAGGGTTTAGGGTCTACGTTTAGGGCCTCGGGTTTAGGATTTAGGGTTTAGGGGTTTAGGGGTTTAGGGGTTTAAGGGTTTTAGGGTTTAGGATTTTAGGGGTTTAGGATTTAGGGCTTAGGGTTTAAGGTATACGCTTGGGGCCTAGGGATTCGAACCCGAAACCCTCGGGTCGCAGAGAAAGCGGGGGCATCAGCTCTAGGCCTTCGCAGTTGCATCACTCATGACCTACAAGATATACTTAGAGGTTCATGGGTAGTTATAAGGGTTCCTTTAAAGGGATCTGTAGGATTCTAGAATAGGGTTTAAGGCTTACTTGGAGGTTCATGGGTAGTTATAAGTAGGGTTAAAAGAAACCTACAAGATATACTTAGAGGGTCAGGGGACTTAGTAACTGGTTAGTTTGGGGACTTATAAGTACCATAACCCCAATTAGGGTCCCTTTTAGGGTACTTATAAGTCTACTTACTACCTACTTACAAAGTCCCCGACCCTCCAAGTACAAGTTATACTTGGAGGTTCATGGGTAGCTATAAGTACGGTTAGAAGTAGAGTAACTATATACTTATACCCCATATCAACGGACTTGTAAGTCCACTTATGGCAGCCCATGTACCTCCAAGCACTGCATCTTATGTAGTATATAATGCACACTACATACTATTACTGATATATTATGTTACATACCATGTGTTACACAATATCACAGAGTATCAAACAATATGTTGTATCATCATGCCGCGCCGTCCTCAGCTTATTTCCACCACCAAGACGGCCATTCGTCGCCGAAGTGCAGCGATGCGACAATTTGCAACCCTGATATTTGTTCTGTTGAGTAGCGTGATGAACAGACGTGCCATACATATCAACATGTGTGGTGAAATGCCTTGGAAACTCCGAGTTCGAAGACTTACAGTAGTTGAAAGGATTTAAAACAGAGTCCGCAAGGTTCCGAGCTCGCGGTTGTCGGGGTGTGCTCCAACTCGTCTGGGTTATGACACCTTAGACGCAACCTCTTCAGAGCTATGTCAGACGCAGCGGCTGTAGAATCGCACCGTCGGAAAGCTGTGAACGCCTTCCTGCATGCACTCGTCGTGGTCGCGGCCCTCCCCCCAGCCTCGGCAAGGAAAAAATGCCGCTGATGTCAGCCCGAGCCCTGAACCACCAACCCAAGGGGCTTTATTGTTTCTTTAAGGGTCCCTTTCAAGGGTCCTATAGGGATTCTACATTTCCAGAAGGGTACCAGAAGGGTATAGGGTTTAGGGCCTACTTGGAGCTTCATGGGTAGTTATAAGTAGGGTTGTAAGCCCGTTCATATGGGTTCTAAGTAGCGGCTAGCTGGAACCGGGTTCACGCCCCGAGAAACTTCAGAAAGGGCGACCGTCATCCTGACAGCGGATATTTCTATTTCAGTTCTCGGCTCCCAAAACTGCCATTCTCAGCTTCTCAACCCGGAGAGTCCAAGACCCCTTAATTAAGGGATAGACCTTCAATTATGGGGGCCTTGACCATAGTATATATGGTTTGAGGTATCTTCCTTAACTTCTAAGGAAGGTATATTCTGGGTTTAAAGTATATTCCATATAGTAGCGGCATTCACCTATCCATCCTTTCGTCTTACAGTCGGGACACTGGACCAGACGTCCCGGACTCTACGCATAATAACAGAGCCCCGTGGAGCTTAACGAAACCCAGGTTTAAGAACGTGCTGGAACCCGGGAGTTCTCTCTGGAAACCTAGAAAACCCTGCATAGCATCCTTGCGACAAAGTCAGATAACAAGACTACTCGCGAAGACATGCACAGCAAATTCTCCAAGCTACATGTGCTAGCATGGGGGCCAATTTGTGGTACTCTCCCAGGCTGGGGGATTTCACCCGCACATGAAGCTTGAGGTTTGCTGCCCCAATTACCAAGACTTTGGAACAGGCCGCCTTCGCCGTAGCACTCTTTCTGCTCCCAATGCACTGTGTCGGCTTCCTGCAGCACAGGTCAGGCTTGTGCTCGAGAGTCAGAACAGCTCCAGGCTTCGTGTTATCCGTAGCAAAACGGCAGTGAAAGCTACAGGCCGATCACAACCCCCCTCACCACATCCTTTCCATCACCATTCTTCTCATTGTGACCATCACATCATGACTCCGAAGGAGCACAACCCACAACAGCATCCACAGCATCTTTTGCGCTGGCATCAACAGCATACAATGTCATCATCGCCATCATCAAAAGCACCATAACCACTGAAATCGTCAGCAACACCGTCATCGAAATCATCAGTCATCATCGGATAGAGTGTCGCCGTCGCTCGCCATGACCAACATCATCGCCATCCTCATCGACCCCAACCACTACCATAACCACGACCGCAACCGGAACAGTCACACCCACGATTGACTGCTTATTGCTATTATAACGATTATTATTGCTATGACTACCAGTACTTACATTATTCTGAATAAGAATATTATTCCTCTTGGCATTGTTATCACTACTATGAATAAGAATATTGTTAGCATTACAATTATCATTCCAGTTTGAATTGAAATAAATGTTAGTATTACTGAATTGCATCTGGCCTTTCCAGGATGCTCCGTGAGCCACTTCTGGCTTGCTTCGCTCCAGATGGGCTCCAGGTGTTGACCTTAGCGGTTTCGGGCTGTGGGGTTTAGGGTTTAGAGTTCAGGGTTTAGGGTTTTCGAGCCCCTTTAAGGTAACGAACGTGCCCATGGGTTTTCTACGGGCGTGTTTCGGTTTTGTACGGGCTTGACAAGGATGTTCTTACTTTTTGAAGGCTTTAAAGGGTTACTTGGAAGGGCAGGGGACTTAGTAAGTAGGTTATAAGTGAGTTATTATTAGGGGGTAGCTCCATTTAGAGTACTTATAACTCTACTTATAACCTACTTACTAAGTCCCCTGCCCCTCCAAGTAGGACTTCGGGTTTAGATTCCAAACAAAGATCAGGTCTTCGTACTGGGGAGATTAGAGCCGAGGGCCCTGGGTTTTGTCAAATGACTCTAATATAGGGGCCTTCATAATTAGAGTGGGGCTCTGGTGCCCATTATACTCTTTGATAAGAAGGAACCCCCAAAATAGTATTGGTAATGGTTATGGGCCTTATATTAGTGGTCTGGTTTGGTCGGTTCCCTTTTCCGGTACCCTTGTATGGAGGCCTTAACAACTTGAAAAGGGTTTTCGGGCAGACTATACTATAAGTTATTGTCTAGCATACCCGACAATCCTATTAAAGTTGCTCAGGCTATACGTAACTACTCGGGCTTCTATACCACAGAGCCCGCTACAATGATAAGAGAGGTGACATCCCTCACCTTACGAGCCCCACAACAAATAAACGCTGAAGTCCACAACCCTCAGCCCTAAAACGTGAACCCTACTGTAAACACGCGTATCCCCACCAAAAAACCCTAAACATCCCTAAGTCCTGAACATTACAAGCTGCCCCCACCCTGTAGTAGTGACTATAAGGATTATATTAGGGCCCGATTATATTCCTACTATACCACTATTACAGGGCGGGCCCCGCCCTGTAATAGTGGTATATTCCACCAAACGCCTCAATTTCTACCACTCATCAGGCTCGGGCAGTGAGGACAGCTCTGAGCGAAGAACTCGATCATGCGGCCTGAAGCTGTGGAGGGGGGGAAAAGGCGGGATCGCCGGCAAGTGCCGGGTGTCAGAGTGTGTGAACTCATCTCCCATCCAAGCACATGAAGCAGGAATTTACGACGCAATTTCCCCAAAACCCTAAACCCTGAACCCTAAACCCCAAAACAAAAACCCTAAATCCTAAACTCTGAACCCTAAACCCCAAAACAAAAACCCTAAACCCTAAACTCTGAACCAAAGCCCCCAAGCATGAATCCCGAAGTCCGGAAGCACCAGGCCTAACCCCTCGAGCGTTGCCGTGATAGACCCCCACCACCTACTTGGAGGGTCGGGGGACTTAGTAAGTAGGTAGTAAGTAGACTTATAAGTACCCTAAAAGGGGGCCTAATTGGGGTCATGGTACTTATAAGTCCCTAAAATAACCAGTTACTAAGTCGCCCGACCCTCCAAGTACTAAATCCCACCCTATCCTTAGATGGCCATAAATACCCTGTAGGAGCCAAAATAAAATCTGGGAGCCTTAATGATTAGAAAAGGGTTTTGGGGGTATATAACACTGTAATTACAATAAGGAACCCCCAAAATAGTACAGGTGAGTATTAAGGCCTCTGTGAAACCCAAAAAACCCCAAAAAGAAGGTCCAAAAATCCCAGACGGACAAATTCTCGCAAACCCTAAACTCCCTAAATCCTGAACCCCCAAACCTGAAACACATAACCCTAAGCTGAAACCAGACCAAATACTGCGCCTCCGCCCCAGTGCTCCTCGGGAACCACAGCGGCCGGCGCGGCCGCCGCGCCCATCGCTTCCTCTGCCTCGAGCGGCTTGAAGGCTCTGCATCTGGGG